CCGCTCCATAACCTTCTCTGGCACCGAGGTCAGGCTGACAGGCCTGTAGTTCCCCGGATCCTTCTTGTGGCCCTTCTTGTAGATGGGCGTCACATTAGCAAGCCTCCAGTCATCTGGGACCTTCCCCGATAACCAGATATAAGCATACCTGTCTGTTTCTGTTTTTCTTCCATGGATTTTTAACTTTGTAGCCTTAAATATGTAGCAAGGAATGCATGAATGTAAAAACAGTCTTGGAACTCACTCAGTTCTTTCAGCAAATAGCATGTGTTAAAAAAAATCTGAAAGCTATATAGATTTATGCCTAAGACTATTTTATTTATAGTGACAACGGTCAAGAACTGTTACGTACTCCAGAAGATGCCTGCAAAGGTGGAAGATGATAGACAGTTACAGGGAAATATCCCTGTTCTTCCAAAAAAGAAAATGTAGGAAGTAAAGGAGAAGCAGTCTCAGTACTCAAGTGCTGGAGGTCACTTGGAACAGTGAAGCCATTGGCTTCTGTGCAAGCTCAGAAACTGTTTCTCTTCATCCTTCGAGGGCCCTTCTCATGGGCTGCTGCTGTGGAGGCAGCAGTTCCTTCCTCAAGGCCAAGGACTTGTGTTCTGTTTCTTCTGGGTGCTGTTAATATGGCTGAGCCTTCCTTGTGATTCAGTGCTGCTGTGAAGGCAGTGCTGCTTCCCTTGTGCTGCTGTGGCCATATGTCTTTCCTCTCCCCTTGTACCACTCTGGTGCTGCCTTGACTGTTCCACAGGAAACTATATCGGCAAAAACCCCCAAAACCAGGCTTACTGAGCTGAGCTGGCTCACCACATAGCCAGGTGGACAGCAGAGAGAGTGTAAGTGAGGAGAGAGAGAACAGGAGAGCAAAATCTACCTGTTTGCTGGCAGTACGTTTCATTTGTTTCATCCAACCATATCCTTAGTGGAACTGAGGACAGTAAGAAGAAGGTGACAGTGAGGCAGTATCCCCTTCTGGATTCATGCTGTAGTCAGAATGTTGAAACTCACCTCTGTCATTTTATCACTAAGTCTATGAGGTTGCTTTGCCATAGACTTCTCTTTCCATGTACTTATAATGACAGTTTGGAGGAAATACCTCATTTCTGCTAAACGGCATTATTACTGAGGTTTGGCCTCTGGCCTTGGCACCAGAATGGTGAATCATTTAAGATGGGTGCAATGTTTTTGTATTCCAAGCGAATTTTAGGAGGAGCAAAATTTAGGTGCCCCTGGTCTATGAGGGCAGTAGAAAAAGACATTCTTCTTACAAAGGCACTCTCACCTGGTTTTGGATTGGCCCGTTCTCCTCATGGTCAGTAGAAATCGGGGAAAAGAAAATAGTTTCCTGTACTTTTAAATTTAGCATTTGAGAACATCTCCCTCTAAACACTTCAGAGATCTAACTTGTTTTGTGAAAAAGGCATTGCGTGTTTCAAGCTAGGATTAAAGATAATATGAAAAAACTCCAAGTTCACTCAAAATAATTATATTAATCAGATAAATCCATATAGTTTGAAAATGACAAGATCTGCCAGTTTCCAAAAAACGTTAAAACAAATGCAGTACTTTTAAGCAGAATTTATGGAATAAGCCATCCTGAGAAAGCCATTTACTAAAATAAAGATGAGACTTTGGTTTGCTTAGAGAAAGCTCCTGTCTTTCAGGAGTAGTTTCTTGATTCTCATCCAGAAAGTCTAAATGTCACAGAAAAAACCTTACTTACTGCTTTACTTTTTAAAGATCCCTAGAAGGTGTTGCTTTCTTGCACTGAAACTTCCAGCAGAGGGAGCTTTACTATTACATTTAGTAGAAAAACAGCTTTACTAAATATTTTTAATCTACAATCTGAAAAAGTGTGAGACCATTGGGGGATTTTTTTATGGTGTCAATTCATGACATCTTAATACGGAACAATTTAAAAGGGACAGAATGGGCAAACCCTTTCCTAGAGAGAACATTTCCATATGTAGTGTTACAGTATTTCATCATGGTTCCTTTGAAATTGGAAAGTTCAATATAAATTAAGTGTACTATGGCAGTAATATGGAATCTCGTC